GCTTGGCATTCCCCCAGCCTCGGGAAGAACCAGCCCCCTGGCTGAGAGTGACAGACCTGCAGTCGGGCAGCAAATGCTGCTCCTCCTCTCACCACCTTCACAAAGGCGTGAAATGTCCCCGAGCCTCAGCTTTCTCATCTGCAAAATGGGGCAGTTCCACTCACCAGTGCTACCTTCCCAGGCTGGCAGCACACCCACCACGTGGAGGCTGCAGGGGCCGGGACAGGGCGTGGGACCTGCACTGGGTTCACAGAGGCGGCCTTTCAGGGCATTGTAGGTTTCTGCTGGTACATTGAGGAGAAAGTTTTCTGGGGATCCACTGGATTTTAATTCTTTCCTGGACTAAGGAAGAAATGAGGAGATCAAAAACAAAAGCATAAGAACACTAAACCACCAGCCTGGGCTCTGCTGCTGGCTCACTCGCCTTCACGCCTGGGAGGCTGCTGGCACAATCTCATTTGGGGGCTGCTTCCCATGGTGAGGGAGGTGCAGGAGGTCCCAGGATGATTCTGGGCTGAGCACAAAGCAGGAAGAACCCCCTTTCTGCCCTCAGACTGCAGGAGCCTCGGAGTGGCCAGGGGAGCCCTCACCCGGCTTCACCCTGACCCGGTGCCTGATGCTCTCCGGTCCCAGGAGAGCAGCCCAGGCCTCAGCACACTCACCAGCCCTGAGGGACGCGGGGGGACATGGGAATCCCAGGTACAAAGCCAGGGAATGAAACAGGTTACAGGTTTCCACGGGAGCCAACATCCCAGCCAGGCCTGAGCACTGGACAGAAGCCAGCTCCACCAGAAACTGCCAGAGTCACAACCTCCACCATCACCGCATCCGTTCGGATCTGAGCTGGGGCTCCCCCTGTCTTGTCCTAAGCCAGGCTGGAATGCGCCGGGAGTGGATGGCATTCTCCCTCTGGCATGCTGGGGTTGTGGCCCTCGGCCCACCTGGCCCCCAGCCAGGTGTGCACAGGATACCTGGACATGGGACAGCCCCAGCAGTGCTCAGCCTGGCCTGGCAGGTCTCAGTGGTCTCAGAAGTCATCTCATTTAGATATTCCCCAGGTCACAGGGCTCTTCAGGGCACTCAGGTCCCACCCTTGATTTCCCGGCTCCCAGCGGGGCTCTGGGCCCTGAGAAGGATGGTGGCGTGTGGTGCTGTGGCCACATGGCCCTGGCTTTCTGGGACACCAGATCTGGAGGCAGATGCTCTGTGCTGGGCCTCAGCCACTTCTGCTGGTGTCACAGGGGAATCCAGGCTGACAGCTTGGTGCTGCCTGCATTTCCTCCGCTGCCAGGACTATCTCATCTGGAAAGTAAGCAGGTGAACAAAAATGGCGGCCAAGCTTTTCCGTGGGCTGGGAGCACCCCCAGAGAAAGGGATGCCTCTCCAAGACCTGTGCCACCACCTGGCTCTGGGCAGCCAGGTTAATGTCCTTCACCTTAGAGACCCTATGGGCCTTTGTGGCCACTTCCACTATCATCCATGGCCCCTTCGCCAGCCAGGAAGGAGGCAGCAGGGCTGAGACCATTTCCAAGGCAGAAACTAAGGAAAAAGGAGGCAAGGGTCTCTGCGTCCCGTCTGGAGAGTCCAGAGTGCAGGGCCAGGTTGGGGCTGAGGCACCAGATGCCTGCCTAGAAGAGACTGAGTGACAGCGACCTTAGAGCTGAGGCCCAGGCCAAAAGGCGAAACTAGAAGGACCGCCCAGCGCCAAGGTGAGGGCAGACACAGGCTGCTCCTGGCTGCTGCAGAGGTGAGGGAAGCACAGGACTTTAAGTGCCCACAGAAAGTTCTATAAGCAGCTGCGGGGCTCTCCAGGTGACACCTCAGGATCGGACTCGAGCCATGTTCATGGAGAGGCAAAGCAGAATCCAAATAAGTGCCAGGCGACACCGCCAGAAGCATCCCCTCTTCACACGGGGATGCGTGGTGCACCCTGACACCTACACATATATCTGCACTTTTTCCATCGTCCTCCTGAAGTGCATTTAACCTTCCAGAGAGAGGTGAAGACTCCAGATATTAAAAAAGAAGCAAGAGGAAGGAAGCAGGTTGAAGAGAAAACAGTGAAAAATGGAATGTGATGAGGTTAGCAATGTCTCAGCATTGTAGAAAAGCTGGCTACAGTACTGCCTCTGAGCTTCCCAGTAGACAGAGTCAAGAAGGAAACCACATTTAGGCAATTTACAAGGAAAGACAAATAGGATATGGGGAGGAGTCCCCATCCCGAGACCTCTGACATTTCTCCCTTGGAGCTGCTCTGCACTCACTCGCCGTTTCTACAGCATGGCACAGTGTTAGCAACACTGAGTGCCGTTACAGGTACCCACATTTCACAGTTTCAAAAGGCAGTGTTCATGCATTCAGCGCCGATGTTCTGTGAATGCCCCAGCATCTCAGAAGAGCTGCCTTATTTCTCTTTCCTTCAAAAGAGGCCACCGCCTGGCAAGGCACAGGAGCAGGTATTGCTCTGAAGTTCCTTTCTTCTCCTGGAGAGCAGGTGCCCCCAACACTGGGGTCACTCAGTGACCCCCGATCTTCCGGGCCTCTCTCCAAGAGGGTGTGGGCCAGCGCTGTGTGCGTAACCGTGTCCTGAACTTTGTCCCCTGTGCTTCTTCCTTCTCTGCCAGTGGCAACTCCTGTTTTCCTCCTGCTTCTCCGAGGATGAGGACTCAGACTCGCAAATGCCAGTGGTTTGAGTGTTCAGACACAGGGCTGTGGTTTTGGGCAGAACACCCAAGTTACAGTTACACTGAAATGGGCTGTTGGGACTGCATCTTGTCACAAAGCCTGGAGATTTCTCGTGAGTAGACTAGGCCATGTCAGACACAAAGGAGAATGTCATAAAGATCTAGGAAGTGACCAGGTGCCATGGCTCACACCTGTAATCACAGCACTTTGGGATGCTGAGACAGGTGGATCATTTGAGATAAGGAGTTTGAGACCAGCCTGGCCAACATGGCGAAAGCCGGTCTCTACTAAAAATACAAAAATCAGCTGGGCATGGTGTTGCACGCCCGTAGTCCCAGCTACTCCAGAGGCTGAGGCAGGAAAATCACTTGAACCTGGGAGGCAGAGGTTGCAGTGAGCCCAGATGGTACCACTGCACTCCAGCCTGGGCAACAGAGCAAAACTCTGTCTCAAAAAAATAAAAATAAAAATCTAGGAAGCCGGTATGCGGGGGCCCTGGTGCTGTCCCCTGGTGCAAAGTCCTTGGTTCACTGGGCGGACGCCCCCGCTGGTTCCCGCCTGGCCACTCAGATGTTGGTGCTCCATTCAACCTCAAAGCAGCTTCAACGCTCGCCTAGGATGTCCCCAAAGCTGCATGCCGGTACTTTTTTAAAACTGCACCGCTGCATTTAATCCCGAAGACAACGCAAACCCTCCTGCTGCTGTTCAGTTGCATTAGTCTTATTAGGAATTTGTTTTGAGAAAACAAAGGGGCTTATTTGTGTATTTGTGCTTAAGTCTCAGCAGTCACGGAGCTGTCATTTTTATCTTTGTCAGTGACAATCGGGTGTCAGAAATGATTGATCTGCTAAGTTGTTGCTGATTCTAATTTGTTTGCCATTGGGCAAACAGTACTATAAAAGCAGTTTGGAATTTTCCTGCCACTTGAGAAAATGATGTAATGACTCCATCCTTAGAGGGGGGCTAGGTCCGGGAAGCCATAGCGGACCTTTGCCCGGGTTGCCCCCGTCCATCAGAGGAGCCACCGGCGGGGCCCTGGAGTCTGGAAGTCTCATCACTCTCTTGAACCAGACAGGGTGGAAATGCCGGGTGTCATCACATTTAAAAACATTTTCACATGAAACCCGGAGGTGGGAGGTGCCAGTGGCTGGGAAGATACCTAACGTGCACTATTTGAGACGAGGGAACAGACAGGTTATTTATTTTTTCAAGGCAGGCAACAGTAAAAGGTGAACGCAGGGGGAAAACACGTGATCTAATGTAACAGTGAGTCGCTCCTTTTGGTTTCTCAAATGAATAGTAATTAAATCATGTAAGCTGAGACAACAAAATGGCTTGAAAAACCAATCCTCCCACCATAATTGCTTAGATACCCACATTTTTATAAATACCAGGAAACTTTACCCATGGCTTTTATCAGCAGAGTGTGACACAGGCTGTGGGTGCATCGTAATTCACCACAGCTCTAGGCGACAGTCGCAAAAGCACACACGTCTAAAAAATGCACTGATGTGGTCCAGATGAATCTGCTCCTCTGGAGCTGCCTTTTGCTGCAGCAGAATGAGAGATGGCTGTGGTTCTGGAGCCGTGAGGGGAGGTTGGCCTCCTGGTCTTAACAGTTAATGCTTTTGGAAGTGAAGCAATGCACAGCACCCAGGTACCAATAGACAGTCTGCCTTCAGCTCTGTCTCCAGTTCACCAAGAGAGCAACTGGGTGGGGCCAGGGTCTTCCCTGGTCACATCTGCCCAGCCCACCCCCAAGGTGATTCGCAGGCATCAGGTCCAGCTTAGTAATAAAAAGGACTAGAAACACAGCAAAGTCGAGTTCTGCTGCCAGAATCCACCTGCCGTGGAGGAACAGTCCCTCTTGCTCCTTCCCTGGACTTAGCCTTCTTGGGGTAGAAAAACAGGTCTTTTAGGTGCTTTACAGTCTACACTGGCAGGCAGAAGATTTGCATAGGCAAGAGTAGGGGGAACCGAGGGAGTATTTCTAAGATGGAGAACACCCACCGAGCTACTGGATTCAGAGATAATAGCGGCGACGGAGAGATGCATTTACAGAGGGACAGCAGCTGTGTTGTAGGTAGAACGGAAGCTCAGCATTGCTTTTTTCTCCTCCTGTTTTAAAATCCTCTGGCTAATTCCCTAGGATTTGAGATAAAACACACCACCTTCTCAGGAGGTGGAGAAATGCGTGCAAACCTCATGCCCTGAAGCCCACTGTGGGCCTGGAGGGCATCCTGCGTGGCTGCTGCCATTGTCACCACCCTTCTGCAGGCCAGGCCAATCCTGACTGTCTCCCCCTCCTCTTGCAGTCAAGTTCAGCAGCTGTTTGGGGACCAAGGGGACACAATATGAGACCAACAGCGTGGACTTCAAAGTTGGGGCTGACGGGACGGTCTTCGCCACCAGGGAGCTGCAGGTCCCCTCCGAGCAGGTGACGTTCACAGTGACCGCGTGGGACAGCCAGACAGCCAAGAGATGGGATGCCATGGTGCGGCTGCTGGTGGCCCAGACCTCGTCCTCGCACTCCGGACACAAGGTAAGGTGTGACCGCTGGGTCTGCGCCCACGTCTAGATGACCTAGTTCCTCCTGCAGGCCCCAGGTAGAGCCTCTGCCAGGCCTCCCTCAGGATGAAACCACCTCCTCCTCGGGCTGTGCCACTTAAGAAAGGCCAGTGCCAGCTGGGCACCCCTGCCCTCTGTACTGACCTAAGCCGAGCACCCCTGCCCTCTGCACTGACCTAAGCCGGGCACCCCTGCCCTCTGCACTGACCTGAGGCAGGGCCATTGTGGCAGGAAGGCCCCCTGGGCAGGCGCACAGACCTCACACTCAGGTTAAGACCCAGGTGCCACCCACGGGCTTGACATTCTTCATACGTTTATGAACAAGGGACCCCACATTTTGATTTCCAACTGGGCACTGCAAATTCTGGAATCCCTCCTGCCTCTGAATTTTACAGCCCACCAGGCCCAGGACATCTGAAGCCTGGATGGATGAGAAGCAAGGTGGAGACCATGTGGTTGGAAGGGAACCAGTCAGAGGGAGCTGGTGAGAGAGGAATTCAGAGAGCAGGGAGGGAGAAGGAGAGAAGGAGGGGGCAAGAGAGGAAGAGAGGCAGAGAGGCAGAGAGAGACAGGAAAGGAGAGGGAGGGAGAGGGAGAGGGAGAAGGAGTGGAGGGGGAGAAAGAGAGAGCGTCACACAGACATAGAAAGTCATGCTATTCAGCATCCCACCTGCCCCCTGACTCTGCCTCCTTCTAACCTGTCTGCCTGGCTCACCTGCGTGACAAGGAAGGATGACCTCACCATCCCTTGTCCTGAGAGCTCCCTTTTACCCTGGCCTATTCCGGCAATCCACCACCAGGCTCCTGGATGGCCAATGTTCATCCCCGGCTCCCAGCTGTGAGGTTCCCAGGCCTGACAGGGAGTGGCCAGATCCCAGCCCACGCCTGATGGGGAGGTGGCCAGGTCCTGTCCCGTGCCTGATGGGGAGGTGGTCAGGTCCTGTCCCGTGCCTGATGGGGAAGTGGCAGCAGGTCCCAGCCCGTGCCTGATGGGGAGGTGGCCAGGTCCCGTCCCATGCCTAATGGGGAGGTGGCCAGGTCCCATCCCATGCCTGATGGGGAGGTGGCCAGGTCCCGTCCCGTGCCTGATGGGGAGGTGGCAGCAGGTCCCATCCCATGCATGATGGGAGGTGACAGCAGGTCCCATTCGCCTTGAGTGTCCTGGCATTGGTTGCAGCTGCTGTGCCGCCTTAAGATGTGGGGCTGCTGAAGAAGCTGTGCTGGGCGGCCTGCAGGACGGCACTGCAGAAAGCCAGCCTGTAGCCCAGCTGTTGCAGCTGCCACCTGAGGGGCCTCAGTGGTGGAAAGAACGTGTGCCAACCCCTCCAAATCCCCCCAGTTAACACAAGGCCTCTGTGGGGTCATTTGAGTTACAGTGAGCAAAGGAAATCACCACACAAGGCAGCAGCCACTGGCGATCACGGGCAGTCCCTTGGAAAAGGACCTCGGGAAGTAAAGGGTTAAGCAGATTCCTTCCTGTTGGTCTCCCAGAACCTCACAACTCGTACTATGAAAGCCTCTGAGTGGGACATGGTCTGCAAGTTTCCTCAAACTGTCTGACCAAGGAACCCTTCCCCACGGAAAGCTTGCAAGGCAGGTGTGCCAAGGAACCCACTTTGGGAAAGAAGGAACGTGTGTCATCTTCTGACTTGTTTCTTAGGTAGAAGTGGAGGTGGTTTAGGTTAGAAAAGAGAAAGTGTGACTCTGGTGAACAGTCTTCACCGCCTGATGAGCTGACCCCATGGGAAAAGGAGGTCATGTCTCCTGAGTGTTAAATCAGAGGCATCAGAACGTGCCTTTAACAGCAGCGGCCCCCAAATCCTGATCCCCACCTGTGAGTCCTGAAGATTCTAGGACAGCGTATGTCACTTTCATTCTTTCCCGAGTGATTATGACAAGCCACGCCCTGGTGAGCAAGGCAGGCCCTTGGGCAGCCTGGGGACCCCGTCCCATCATACCTGTGACTTCCAAGTTGTCCCCACATCCCCGATTGTGATGCAGAAACTTGGCACCTTGTGGGCTGAGAGCAGAGCCCCTGAGAGCCTGTCAGAGGCCTCAGATAAAGTCTCTAATTGAGAATCTAATGACACCTTTTCTTGGGCATGTTCGTGAAGTGATTTCAGAGGCAGTGAATCCCCTGACCCTCTGTGGAAGGTGCAGGCCAGGCTATGGTTACAACTAGACAGTCCCTTATGGGAGTGGGCCGTGACCCACGCCGGGCTGGCCCAAGAAGCACCCTACCAGCAGAGGAGGGGACACTGAATTCCTACCCAGGCTCAGAGCACCCAGGGAAGCCCGGCTGTGGGGTCGCTGTGGGACGCAGCCCCACATCCCTGAGACGTGACTGTTGCAGGGCGCAGTGGACCATCCCTGCAGCCCAGGAGACCCCGCCCTCCAGCGCTTGCGTTGCCAACAGTTCCTCTCCTGACTTTCTAGGACCCACTCAGACCTTGCCCCAAGTGGTATAAGCTCGTCTACCCCTCTCCACACCCTGGGAGTGGGCGCTGTGCTTGCCCCCCCCATCACACATGAGGGCGTTGAGCGTGTGACCGCAGCCCCGTGCTGCCTGGGAGACCTGATGTGTGGGAAGGAGTGGAAAGGACTTTGCAGGTGTGGCGGAGCCCAGCCTGGTGCGAGAGCAGCCCCCGGGGTGTGGGTGCATGTTGGGGCTTCTGCGACTCACTGGCAGGGAGTTTTAGGAGCATTCACACCACTCTGAGGCAAGCTGTTCTGGAGAATGGGAGAGTGATGCTACCCACGTCCGAGCCGGAGGGCATTGATATTTTGTGAGGTCATGGATGGTCCAGAGGTGGAAGACAGCGGTGTGTATGGTTGTCATTGCCTGGTCCCAGCCTTCACAGTCCTGTGCTTATCACAGCTGCAGGGCCTCGCCGGGTGGCATGGGGGCAGGAGGAGGCAGGGAGTGGGGTCACTGTGGAACTCGGCCACTTGGTTGATGCACGCTTACAGAGAGTAATGCCAGCCTCCAGCTAATGCCACCCTATAGATGATCAAGGTGACCCCAGATAGCTGGTGTCCTGGCCGCCTGCCAGAAGCAACTGTGTATCTTCCCCAGGGTGAGCTGTCACCCAGGCCCTGAGCTGTGTCCACCTTCTTTCGTCTTCAACATCCAGCACTGAGCCTCATGACTGGGCAGAGGAGGAGGGACGAGACCATAGAAAGAAGGATCGAAAGAAGTGGCAGATACGAAAGGACCCACAGAGGCTCCAGAGCATGGGGCGATCAGACAGGTTCTACAGTGACTATGCTTACTATGTTTAAGCAACTTAAATAGAAGAATTCGAGGGAGAATCAAGAGGTATAAAACAGAATTATTAATAGTTGGGCAGTTGGGAACTGAAAATCAAACCCAACAAAATTAAAAGCTCAATGGATAGCTGTATCTGCACATTTGATATGGCTGAAGAAAGAATTAGCAAAGCAAAAATATCAAAAACATTCGTGCTGCAAAGCATGAAGAGATACACAGAAGGAAAATACAGAAGCAAGCCCAAGAGGTGCTGGAGAAGTGGGGGAAAGATCTGACGTGCATGTCTGCAATATGAGGGGAAGAGGGAAAGTGGAGCAGAAGTAATTTTGAAAATACGGTGGTAGAAAGTATTCCAGAACTGAAAATATTCATCTAGGCATGGATGCAAGAAGCCCTGTGAACTCTATGCAGGAGAGATGCTTAAACACACACACATACAGTACCTAGATGCTTTATAGTAACATAGAACCCAAAGACAAAGAGGAAATCTCGGAGGCAAACAGAGAGAAAAGGCAGAGTTCCTTTGAAGGAGCAATGACTACATGCAGGCCAACTTCTCAACGGGAGCTGGGGGGGTTAGAAGACAATGGAATGAAAAAAAAAGTGCTAAAGGAAAATCGAATTGTGTCATCCAGTAAAACTGTCTTTCCAGAAGTAAAGTTGAATGAAGAAAAGCTGAAAGAATCTGTCCCAAGTGATGTTCTTCAAACACAAATAAAACAAGTTGAGGTGAACGCTCAGAAATGGAGGAATGAATGAGGAACTGGGAAAAGGCCAAGTACACAGAAAAGTAGGAATGAGCAACAGCAGTGCAGTGGCTCACAGGGTGTAAACAGATAACTCGGACTCACAGCAAAAACTGTGTGAGTGTTGAGAAGGGATCGACGGAATCAAGAGGTAGAAGTTGTTGGCATTTTTAATCAAAAATGATAAAATACTCATAAATAAGACAAAGACACTTGTCATAAAGTCTTTAGAAAATCGTATGACTAACAGAGTCCTCAGAGTCTATAAGTAGTAACATGATACATGGAAAAAATAGAATGATAAAATTATCAAGCCAAAAATGCAAGAAAAAAAAAGAGAGAAATGAAAACAGAATAGATGGCCTATACATTTCTCTTTGAGTAAGATGGCAGATTTGCAAATATATTTATAATTATAATAAGTGAAAATATATTTGGTATAATTTTAAAAAACAAATCGATGGATAAGGATAAATCCATCTCACTTTGGGAGGCCGAGGCGGGTGGATCACGAGGTCAAGAGATCGAGACCATCCTGGTCAACATGGTGAAACCTCGTCTCTACTAAAAATACAAAAATTAGCTGGGCATGGTGGCGCACACCTGTAGTCTCAGCTACTCAGGAGGCTGAGGCAGCAGAATTGCTTGAACCCAGGAGGCGGAGGTTGTGGTGAGCCAAGATTGCGCCATTGCACTCCAGCCTGGGTGACAAGAGCGAAACTCTGTCTCAAAAAAAAAAAAAGAATCCATCTGTATGCAGTTTTTAAAAGATACATCTGAAAGTTATAAAAGGCTAAAGGTTAGCAGCAAAATCCTAGAGAAATAAATACCATGCAAGTATCAACCAAAAGGCAGTTGGTGGACTCTGTTAATATCACACAAACAGAATCGGAGGAAAAAGGATGCTGTGCAAGGAGGGACACTTCATAGATAAACAATTCAAGTCACCAAAAAGAT